GTTGAAGGAACAATCCCTGTGAGTTTTATCGCAAACTTAAATTCACTTTCCCTCGGTCTGGGTGATTTGATATATATTTATAAAGAGAAGTCCCGTTTTTTGTAACAAGTAATCTCGCGAACGGCTGGCCCGATTTTCATTAAATTTTGTATATAAATAGCTTTAAGAAACCACCATGTTTTAGACCAAAATTAACTTTTTCCGGTTGGTGGACCAGGGACCGGTCTATTGGAAAAAATCTCATTATGGTCCGATTTGCTTAAGATTTAGTATGTAGGTAGCTTTTTACCTAGATTAGCATATAGGATCCCTTTTTTTCCGGGAGATGGACCAGGGACCGATCTATTCGAAAAAATCGTATTTATGGTCCGATTTTCTTAAAATTTGGTACGTAGGTAGCTTTCGCCTGGATAAGCATATAGGATCCTTTTTTCGGAGAAGTGGACCAGGGACCGATCTATTCGAAAAAATCGTATTTATGGTCAGATTTGCTTAAAATTTGGTATGTAGGTAGCTTTTTGCCTAGATTAGCATATAGGATAATTTTTTTACGGGAAGTTGACCAGGGACCGATCTATTCGAAAAATCGTATTTATGGTCAGATTTAGATTTGCTTAGAATTTGGAATGTAGGTAGCTTTTTGCCTAGATTAGCATATAGGATCATTTTTTTCCGAGAATGCGACCAGGTACCGATTTATTCGAAAAAATCGTATTTATGGTCCGATTTGCTTAATCTATACTAATTATATTAAGAGAAGTCCCTTTTCTTTGTAACAGGTAATCTCGCGAACTGCTGCTCCGATTTTCATGAAATTTTGTTATAAATAGCTTTCAGCAACCACCATGTCATAGGCCAAAAAATTTACTTTTTTTCCGGTAGGTGGACCAGGGACCGATCTATACGAAAAAATCGTGTTATGGTCCGATTTACTTAAAATTTGGAACGTAGGTAGCTTTTTGCCTAGATTCCCATATATGATTCTTTTTTTCCGGGAAGTGGACCAGGAACCGATCCAATCGGGGAAATCGTATTTATGGTCCTATTTGCTTAAAATTTTGTACGTAGGTAGCTTTTTGCTTAGATTAGCATATGTGATTATTTTTTTCCGTGAAGTGGACCAGAGAAATGTTTTAAGGCGCCGCAAAGCAAGCAGGTATTGGCTATTTATCGATATATATTATCTATACGAATTATATTAAGAGAAGTGCCACCTTTTTGTAAGAAGTGATCTCGCAAACGCTGTACCGATTTTTTTGAAATAGACTTTTTTGGTTATTGCCACCGCATATTTCTGGAAGCATTTGTGGTAGAGCCCTGGAACTTGGTATGAAAGTACTGAAACTTTTACCTATCTTTAAATACATATACAGTGGCGGTCAAAAATGGATGAATAGTGTTTCGTTTTTAATATTTTTAAGCTAAAATTTTTTTGATATTTTTTTATAAAAACTATATAAATCACACTTTCAAACTTTGTACAGAACTTAGAAAAATTCCACAAATTTTTATCTAAATTTCGAGCTTTTGAATCAGAATTTAGAATTTTTCGGGGTATGCAGTTAACAAGCTTATAAAATTCTAGTAAAACAAGTGCAAGTCTTGAGCGGCTAAAAAATCACATTGATTTTTAATATTTTTTTTTGTTGATAACGTTTTGCACTTTATTAAAAACGAAACTCCATTCATCCATTTTTGACCGCCACTGTATAATTCTTCGATACGTGTGTTTTCGAGTGAACTCCTCCTAAACGACCGAAATGATTTTAATGAAATTTTTGTCCTAAAGTCCCTGTATAGTTTAGGTTCACAACTTAAAACGTCAAATGGCGCTGGAGTCGAGTTATTAAAAATCGTATTTATGATCCAATCTGGCTAATATTCAATGTATGTATTGGTAACGTGAAGGGAAATAATTCTGCGTAAAAAATGGCTCGCCAGGTGGCTCTTGAGTCGAGTTATTACTAAAAATGGTATTTATGGTCCGATTTGCCTCATAAACAAGATGCATATTGGTATCGGTAGGGGCAATACTATTGAAAAAAAAGAGCCGCAAGGTGGCGCTGGAGTCGAGTAATTGCTAAAAATCGTCAAGTGAAGTCATTCGGAGAGACCAGGGATCAAAATCAAATTACCACCGTTAAATCGACCACCATAACCATTGCGTTCCTTGCTTTACGGCGACTACACAAAATAAAGACAATTCTTGATGAATGCCTACAAATTCAATTGTAAGACATTTATGGTATTTCGTCTGAAATAAGTCTATGTATATTGGATTTCTGTGGACCAATGATGTTCTCTCATTTTGAAATTGCCACCACCTTTTCTATACAGATTCAAGGACGATTCATCATCGAGCCGGATGATTGTTTCCACAAGAACTTCTTCACGGACATAACGCTTTCGTTAGGTTATTTAAGACGGCAATGGAGGATATGCTTTCTGACGACCACAAAAAGAAATGTAAACGTGAATTGTGGTGAAACTTTGTACCAAATATTGGAATAAAGAAACAAATTTTGGGCGGGCGAAGTTCGCCGGGTCTGCTATTATATTATATGGAAATACATATCGTGTAAGAACGCTTATGGTATGGTTATTAGCACTGCTTCGCATTTCTTTGAATGTGCAGAACATATGTATGTATGTTCAATGCTTAAGTATGTATGCATCTATCTGTACCCTGTGGGGAAAATCTCTAGTTTTGAACTGGTGCGCTTCTAGTACATTTAGAACCACTACTAGTTCTGGATAAACTCTTTTGCATGCAAACAACTGACGATTTTAACACAGCGATGCCATAGGAATTGGAAATTGTCCCCCGCTGCATTACCTTTTCTATAGTTCAGAACCAGAAATTCGACATATTGGATCTAGTTCGCTTTGCACCCCATTTTCTATAGTTTCGCACCAGTTGTAAAAGAAAAAAGTAACAAGATGTTTTCTTTTTGGGTTACCATGGTAGCAATTTTTATTATTTGCAGAGCAATGTATTTTCAATCTGAAATCAAATTTGTTTGAATGAATGTAAATTAAATTGTGCATTTGAAAACACGTTTACATTCCTTTGGCTGTAGCTGAATTTGCAGAGGTGCTGACTGTTATTGGTCATATTCCAGAAGGTCCCATAATGTTAAGATGTTAACACAAATATTAGTTTTGTATTACCAAACTATGAAAAAGCATCTGCGACGTGCAGACTGGAAGCGTATTTGAACGAAAAACCCGCCAAGCAAAAATCTATTAAAGTAAACAAGCCCCCCGCTGCATCCTTTTTTCAGTAGTTTCGAACTAGATCAAAATTCGCCAGATGAGATGTAGTTCGTTCTGCATCCCTTTTTCTACAGTTTTGAACCAGTTCTAAATTCGTCATTTTAGATATAGATTTCTAAAATTGTTTTTTAAAAGTACCACATATCGCTGCTTTTGAACTGGTGGCGATCTAGTTACTATCGGACTGGTTCGTTTTTGGCGATAAAGATCTAGTACGGGACTACAAATTTGGTTCGCCAGTTCGGGGTTTCCCTACAGGGTATGTAAAGTACAGCGTGTGCAGCTGTGCAACAAAATTTAACAACTTTTCCAAAGAATATTAAAAACGAACTCGGAATTAATTTGCAGCGACACAAATGTTTACCGCATGCTTGATTCTGTGTCCTAAATGTTGCAAATACTACGAGCGCATATAATATGTGGTTAGGTTAATGGAAAATTCGTTCAGAAAAAGAAAAAGATAAATCTTGCCATACAAATATTATATCTGGATAGGTATTCTATCGGAATCCGCAATAAAAATTTACTTTTTGCAAAAATCAGATGTTTAACACCTTACCAAATATATCTTAACATAAGTTTTCGAAAAAAATTACAAAAAATTCTTGATTCTCACAAAATAAACCATCTCGTCATAAAGAAAAATATTTTAAAAATAGTTGTTGAAAACCCCCCATTTTTGTGAACCACGTTTTTTATAGAGAATTAAACAAGGATTACGATGGTATAATTCTAAATCCCTAATTTACTGGTCTTCACTATGCAAATCAACTTCAAAAGGTTCAACTTTAATAGCTAAGTTAGCTCTAGGACAATCTTGACCATCTTATATATAGAAATATTAAGCCCGTTTCTTAGCTTTAAAATTGCATTAAGATGAAGTCTCTACGATCAGCAGAGATATAACGATTTGAAGAAGTACATGATTAGTCAGAATCACGAAAATATGCAAACTTTGACAGATCACATCTCCGAAGAAAAAAAAGAAGAAAAAAATTCCTCGAACACGTGCTAGCTTCTTTCATGTATAGAACCCACAAAAAAAAATTTGAAGCGAATCGGAGACATGAAATATTTTTTTTTCCGAAATCCGTCCGACTTAAAAAAGAATGGCTCATATGTGTATGTATGTAGATATTTATGTAAGTACGCCCATGCAATCTTAAATTGCGCAGGTTTGAAGGTATGGAGTGAATAAACCACATTGGAATCACAATGGCTAATGCTTTATGTTATACGAAAAGTAGCAATCTATCTTATTTTTAGTGCTCATTTGCTAATGCCATTCAACATACACTGGCTAATTACTATAATGACTTAGTTGTACGTACCGTTTTCTGTGACAATGACGTCGGTATGTCCGCTGCCATACGTATGTATATGATCTATTGCTTCGTCGATATCCTTTACAATTTCTATGCAACATTCCAACGCCCCATATTCATGCTTCAGACTCTTCGCAGCCGGAGGACCGAAGGTTAACTTTTGACTCAGTTTTGGGCCCGAATAGATTTTAACGCCCTCTCTTTTCAACATGTTGCAGGTATCGTTAAAGACGCCGCCACTCATTAGATCCTCGTGTATGAGAAGCGTTTCCATAGCATTACAAGCTGTAACAACAAGCAAAATTGAATATTTTTGTGCATATTCTACTTTTTTCTCTTTCTATATCTAAATATATAAAAATGAAATGTCTTTCGTATGACCGCGATGCCTGATTCCAATTGAAAAGGAATATTTGGACTAAAAAATTACTTGAGAGGAGGTGCTGGGGTCGGGATATTCCTAACGTTCTTATACAGTGGGATAATGATAGATATCTACACTAAAGTGGTCCAAAAATGTATGTAAAAAAATAAGGTCGGATTTTTAATGCCGGCACCCCCTAGGATTGTTCTATATCGAAAAAATATACTCCTATTTTTTATTTTGAAAAAAAAAAAATAAAAATAGGGAGTGCTCAAAGCTCTCAAAGTTTTCCATGTATTTTATATGGGGGAAAAACAATTTTTCGTAGAAATAGTGTAGAATTCTTGAAAATCAACAGTTTTCGATCGGAAAACTTTTCTTATCTTCAGGAGATTCCCAGTAATAATACGCAATTGCCTCTTTAACCATTTTTTCATAGTAACTATATTTTATAGGTCCTCCAAAACCCTTAGAAAATGCAATGGAAAAATCTTTAATCATAAAAAATGGTTAAATAAACAATTGGATATTAATACTGGAAGTCTCCTGAAGAGAACCACAGTTTTGCGATTGAAAAATAATGATTTTTAAGAGTTTTATACCATTTCTACGAAAAATGTTTTTTTTTCTCCATATAAAATACATGGAAAACTTTGAGCGCTTTGAGAACCCCCTAAATATTTTTTGATTTCAAAATAAAAAAAATAGGGGTATATTTTTTTCGATATAGAACAATCCTAGGGGGTGCCGGCATTAAAATTTCTACTTAGTTTTTTTGGACCACTCTAATCTACACATATACATTCGTCAAAATAAAATGTTGAAGCCCCTTTTTTGAGGGCACCAATATATCTCTTAAACCAACTACGCTCGGGAACTGAAACTTGGCATGGATGCATAAATTGTAAATACCCTACTTATGGCGAAAAGTGGCAGATATTGGGAAAGGGGGCGTGGCTCCTCCCATATAAACTTAACTTCTCATCTCGCCTATCTCTGGAACCGCCTTATGCTAACGTCCTAAATTTGAACAGCCACATATGTTATCAATACCGGACTTTCAGCGAAAAGTGGCAGGTATTGGAAACTGGAGCGTGACACCTCCCATACAAACTGAAATTTTCATATCGCTTATCGCTGGAACCGCTTAAGCCAACGTACTGAAATTTGACACAGCTGTGTATATATGGTCGTTTAAAGTACCAAGCTGCGTATCGTCATTCTGGAAACCCGCGTAACTGACATTTGCTGCCAAAAATTGGGTTTGCTCACACAACCTCTTGGCTAAATCCTTATCCATTCGTCCTGAAATATAATAGCCAGAAATGCGATTGCTTTATAAAAAAGAGAACCATTTTAAAATATAAGTGTTTTTACTCTCTAGAAAATAATTTATGCAACCTCACATAAGCTGTTTTGCATTATCTTGATACGCGGTTTTGCATTTTGTTGATACGCGGTTTTGTACTTAAACCGACGATATGTTAATAATACTGCGCTCACGACGGAAAGTGGAAGGTATTGGAAAAGGGGGCGTAGCACCTGCCATACAAACTGAATTTCTCATATCGCTTATTTTGCAAAAAAAATTATCCAATGGATGGCGCTGCTGCCGAAATATATAGAAACTCCATGTGCTTACTTTTCAGATGGCTAAATGGAATTTTGTAAGCGCACCTTTGTCTGACGGCCTCGTACACCCTTAATGCGGTCTTGCATTTACCTCCGATTGAGGAAATTGCTCGGGGCGGCCGTTAATGCACCAGTAGGACGCAAAGAAACCAGTTCATAAATATTAAGACGAATTGTAAAAGTGGCGAATCGACAAGGAAGATTCGACCACATCCGTCCACGAAGGAACACGGTAGGTATATCAATGGCTTGATTTCAACGATATTCAAGAGATCACGCGACTCATTTTCCTCAACTTCGGTGTAAAAAAAAAAACATAACTCAAATTATTGTAGAAAGCACCCTATAATACTATACTTAAATACTGCGCAATACTCAGAGCTACCATTGTGATTTTTTTTAATTTTTTTTTGAGAAGGCATATTTTCAAAAACAGTGAAAAAGTTTTCAAGAAACAATTTTTTTAAAATATTCCTTTTCATAGAGAATTTCGATTTGTGATTTTCTTCAAATTTTTTCCTCGCACTGTTCTCGAGGTATTTGGAAAACTATTAAATCGATTTGTTTTTGTTTTTGTGCTGTAAAATTTAAAAAAATGTACTAATGAAGCTCAACTTTCATATTTATTTATTATTTATGTTTATGCATCAACCCTAAATTTTTTAAACAAATCAAACACATGAAGTGTGAACCCCGTCCGTTTTGGTATGGAACCCCCCATATATATATATTAGACTGCATCACTCCCCATACAAAAAAAAAATCGGTACTGTTTTTCTATTGGAATTATAAAATCTATTATATTCTAAGACGTCCACCAAAATATTTCACAAAAATATTAAGATTTAAGCGAGCTAGACCGATTTTAAAATACCTCCAAAAATAGAGATTTTTATGAATAAAAATAGTTTCTTATATTACATTTACATTGGACCGAAATGCGTGATTTGAAATCAGTCATCTGAAGGTGTTTACACTACTTAGTTCGCATTTCCTTTGACTTCTCATCAATTGAAAAGGGAAAACGAAAACAAAAGGAATGTAAACAAACACTGCATGCCTTATATTTTTTAACACATTTTGGACACAAAAAGGCAATTATTGATTAAACTTAAAATGTGTAAAGGTTATGTATAAATTAACAATTTTTATATGCAAATTTCAAAGATTTATTCATTTCGTTGTCTTTGTTTTGATTTTGAAAAATTCCAAATGTCAAAGACAAACAAAAGCTTTTGTGGAACTTTTGGTTCTGAGTGAGTTCAATAAAATAGTACGGCAATTGGAACGCATTTTCTTCGTGATTTTGTTTAAATGCGTTCAAATGCGTGATTTTAGAAATGCGAATTTGTATGGGGAAATGCGTAATTTGGCTTCGCATTTATGTTTTCTCCCCCAAATGACGCATTTGGGTTCAATGTAAATGTAATATTAAAGATGTTTTTTGAAAAAATCCGCTCAAATGACAAAACGGTTTATGCTTAAAAAATTTACATAACACTATTTAAAAAAAAAATTGAACGGAATCGTAATAATGAGATTTTTGATGCTGTTTTTTAACTTTTTTCAAAGATTGGTATAAGAAAAACTTGAATAACTGAACCTAAACTCTTCCGATTTAGACTTGTGAGGTATCATTGAAAAGATATTTTGCCACCCTTTTTATTTCTTTGCTCATTCAAAGGATGAAAGAGAAAGGTAGGATGAACGAACATCATTCAAAGTTGAATTGTGTTGGTATTTGAAAAAAAAGTACACGAATTACTTTTTTGCACATAAATAAAAGTAGTGGGAAAATACCTTTCGACCGAGATCCCATAAGTCTAAATCAGAATAGTTTTGGCCCAGTTATTTAAGTTTTTCGTAAATCAATCTTTGAAAAAAGTAAAAAAACAACATCAAAATTCTCATTATTACGATTCCATTGAAAATATTTTTAATTATATTTTTATGCTGATTTTTAAGCCTAATCTGTTTTGTCATCTGAGGGACCTTTTTTCAAAAAGGTCTTTAAGAAACTATTTTTATTCATAAAAAACTCCATTTTTGGAGGTATTTTCAAATTGGTCCAGCTCGCTTAAATCTTAATATTTTTCCGAAATATTTTGGTGGACGTCTTAAAATATAATAGATTTTGTAATCCCGGCGGAAAAACCGCAACGTTTTTTTGGTGATGCAGCCTAATAAACATAGATAGGCAAGCATCATTCACTGGGAACCATTTTCTCCTAGATTTCTAAATCACATTGAGCGATTGTTACTTTTTTTTTTGATTTTTGGGAAAGGGTAAAATTTGTTGTGAACGATTGAATTTTTTTTTTTTTAATTTAGCACAAAGTTTGAAATTTTAATTTTTATGTGTTTCGTATAGATTGTCCTTTCTACATATGTACATACTTATATACATAAAATGGTAGCTGTTTTTGTTGTTCGGACTAAACTAAAAACCACTGGATAGAGTCAAATTGTCGGAGGTTATACCTTTCACATATGATCCTACTATAGACTAACTACTAGAAGACTCGCTTGGTAGCACTGGAGTTTTGTCATCTATAAGAGTCGTATTTATTGACCGATTTCGTTCAAATTCGCAATACGAGCCACCTGCATGATGAATTCGTTTGCTAAAAATGGACCCGCTGGGTGGCGCTGGAGTCGAGATATTTACTAAATCCTTAGTTTTTATACAACCTATTGATTTCATGATAAGCAATGGTTTTGCAGAAAAGGGACCCAAGGATAGCGATGCAGCCGTAATATATAGAAATCTCATGTGGTTGTCTGCTTTGGCACTATGTTTATTTTATACGAATTTACTTTTCAGAGGGCTAAATGAAATTGTGTAAGCTCACCTCTGTCTGCCGCCGTGATACACCATTAATGCCATCTTACATTTACCTCAGATTAACGACATTGCTCGGGGCGGCCGTCATTGCAGCAGTAAGACTCAAAGAAACCTGTTCATAAATATTAAAAAGAATTGTAAAAGTGGCGAATTGACCACATCCGCCCAAAAAGGAACACGATTGTTATATCCATGGCTTCATTTGAACGATATTTAAGAGATCACTCGCGTCATGTTCGGGAAAACTTTTCATCCTGTGGGGCAGCAAGGATTCTTGGCCCTCTTATAAAAGAAGACGCTCATCTGTGCTCTTAGGTTTCCTTATAAGGACTTTTATTGGCTCACGCATCGGACCAATGTTGTAGTTGCAAGATCAAAGAAGATTATGCACGCCTAGCAGAGATCTCACAGGTGGAAATAAGACCATCGGCAAAACGAAAGGGA